GCTTAACTGGATCCTCCTTGTTGTTTTAGCCCATCAGAAGTATTGTCATTGTCGATATTACCGTAGCTTTTTCTGCAAAAACACATCTCTAATGTTTTATTTAGGACTGTGTTTGAGGTTTTTTTAACATGCTGGGATCGTTTCACTTTCTCTTTCAGTTTGATCGGGCCGTGATCTTTTGTCTCCGTGGACTTTACACTAAAGAGCTAGAAGGTGACTGTTTTTTATCAGCTGATTTGAAAGTGAAGTGTCTCTCTTTATGCTGAGCAGTGGGGTTAAATGGAGAAAGTAATTGATGCAAAACAGTCTTTAAGCAGGTTAACTTTTTTAGCCTGCATTTTGGAGGGAAATGTGAGAAATATGCAGGTTGTGCTGAGTTCTGACTAATTTTGTGAAGAAAAAACACTGAAACTGAGTGTAGGTCACAGGAAGTGAAACAGAATGATTTAAGGAGACATGATTGTACCTGTTTGAATGATACCAGGAATTCTGGTCCGATTGCTTTCCTGTTTTTTCTTTTCTGATGAACATCTTGCTTTAATTTGAAAAACAAATCAGGTCTTTCAGGTCTCACGTGTAGTCTAACAATACTACTGTCATAAACAAGCCTGGTTTGCTTGAAGGATACATCAGTGCTTATTTGTATTACCTTTGAGACCTTTTGGCATAATGGCACATACTTTTGTAAAGCTCCTCTTTTTTTCTGTAATGAATGAATAATTCCAATTAAATGAGTTTTCAACCCAGAGCGAAACACGAGATTTATATTTTTTGTCTCGCTGCTTTTTTAGGTACTCTTTCCGTTTCCTTTATTCAACTCAAGTATTTTTCATTTGAACTTCAATAAAGGATTAGCACGCATTTCCGAAACGTATCAGGGAAGCCGCATTATATATAAATGGTTTTAATCTGTAAGAGAAGGTAACCACTTTCCCGAGAAAGCACGGAGCACATTTTGAATTCTTTAAGTTCGCCTAAATATACCCAGAAGTAATAGGAAGTAGTGATGAAAGCACTCCAGTTGATTGTGCGGTGCTTGCCTGTAGGCATCGGTGCCGCTTAAGTCCTTTTGCATAATATTATCTCAGTGCTTTAGAGGTTGTAGTGCAGACTTTTAAGAAACATTATCCCGAATCATAGATAATGACAAAAGGCAAAAACACACCAACAGCAATCATATTTCCTTATAATCACTGTACGGGTTCCCTCTAAACAGGCACTAATAATAAACAGTTAAATGAGAATAAATGCTCCCTCTGACTCGCTCCTCCTGCTACATCAAATTAACAAAATTCACATTAACAGAATCAGATAAAAACAACACAAATACAAATGAGGACTATTAACGTGCCGCCTGCTACTATTGACAACCTGCATTCGACAATGTCTCTCTTGCTGTTACTTCCCCTTGATGTTTGTGTTTGTGCAGAATAATAGCGTTCAGCCGTGACTGTGAGTTGACCTATGAAGACTCTCGTGTGTCTCTTTTCTCATCTTAAATCGGACTTTATGATGCGTGAGTGTAAATAAAATCATTTCAGGAGGCTTGTGCAAGTTTTTCTGAGGACTTGGCACAAAGGTTGTTTGAAGCATCTTGGAGAATTTACTGCAGTTTTTTGTGGGTTTAGTTTGTTTCACGGTCTTCTGTCCTTCTGATCCCAGATTGAGACACACATGCAGGCACTGGGAAAACATGCAAACTCCACGCATCAACATCCCGACAGCCTGAGGGTGAAACCAGAAACCTTCTTGCTGTCAGGCAACGCTGCACTGCGCTACCACCGTTTTTCACTTTTATGTTGTCTATACTTAAACTTAGTTATGCTGCATAGAGCTAGTGAGTGTGTACAGCATAAATAAGTGTGCTGCAACTTTGAGGAAACCACTCTGTTAGATAAACTCAGTTCTGCTGTAAGGAAAAGCCCTCTAGACTCAGTTTATAATTTGATTTTGATCAGGCCACCAAACAAAGGCCTAAATGAACACATATTTTTCCAGAATATCTTAAAGACTACTCAACAACATGAGGCATACTTTCTTTTTCAGTTGTTCTTCTCATTTACAAAGAGACCCATTTATAAAACAAATGAGAATAAAGAAGATAAATAAGCACAATTTTAACTAAATGCATCAGTTTTACCACATTGATTGAATCTATTACATTATAGTTTATAACAGTGGAAAACCACAACACCTGCACATGTGGAGTTTTTGGAACGAAGTATTAGTATTCTATATTTTTATCATTTAAATAAGTTGTCTAGCTCTGGATAACTTTCTATGCACTTCCACTCCTGTGTAGCAGGCACACGGCAGCTCCGCCACATGGGAATAGCAGTTCATTTTATTAGAAAATTAGAGTAATTTTAGACTACAATTCAATTTTCACTCTTTGCAAAGCCAGCGGGCTGAACTGGATTCGTCGGCAGGGCAGTTCTGGCAGGCCGTTGTCATCCGCTGGGATGGCTGTGGCTCAGAGCGGGTCATCCACTAGCAGGAAGGTTGGTGGTTTAATTGCTGGCTGCTCCAGTCTGCATGCCAAAGTATCTTTGGGTAGGATACTGAACCCTGAGTTGTGCTTATTGGAGTGTGGATGTTAAATATAGAGTTTAAACGTAGAAAAAGTGCTTGTATTAATGTGCATGTATATGGGTGAATGAGATATAATGTATAAAGTGCTTTATCTCATTTATGCTATAAATTGCACATAAGCTGAGTTGATAAGTGCTTTAGAGACAAACACATTTCCATTTCAGGTTTTTACAGAACCCTGTTTCAAAATACAGGAAAATGTGTTTTCTTATATTAACTCATGATTCAGTGAAGTCACAATCATAGTGTGGTTATTAAAATGTGGTCAGAATTTGCAAACTGACAATGAGTCATCTCGTTAATTATGACGCACTGCTCTTATTAATAACCTCTGGCTCTCTTCCAAAATGTGTTTTTTATCCTGTCTTTCTCCCATCACCCCCAAATGGTCGAAGCAGACGGCTGCCCCTCCCTGATCCTGGTTCTTCCTGTTAAATAGGAGTTTTTCTTTGCCACTGTCATCAAGTGCTTGCTTAAAGGGGATTGTTTAGTTATTGGAGTTTTCTTGTTGTGTCTTCAGCTTGCCATTAAGCAGCTCAATGTGGCTGCTGTACCAATCTGGCGCTATATAACTAAACTCTTATTAAGTTTATATTATTGCCTGTACAGGCATACACAGTATATTGCTACAGAGCTCAGTTATTATACAGCTTTACTTAGATTTAGTAATCAGATCGATACCAAACTTCTACCGCACTAACAGTATTTTCCTCGCTTTTTCTTAACTTCAGGTCCTGTTCACAGCTCTTTGTGAGAACAGTTTAAGCTGCTTTTAAATATGTTGCTTTGTTGTTTGCCCTGTGTTTGAGTTTAACCCTTATTTGTCTGTTAAACTTCTGTAAACTACTTTTACTGCTCACTGTGCGGCAGTTTGGCCTGTTGAGCTTGAATAAAGTGGTTAGCCCAGCTGTGACTCTTGCGTCGGGCCTCCTCCTCCGGCCGGGCCGCTCCTGCTCCCGCTGAAGGCGCCCTGGCCCGCAGCCAATCGGGGCGGGGCAGGACGTGACGTCGCTTCTCGCACAAGGAAGCTCCCGGAGTGGCGCGCCAAATTTCAAAGGACTTCCTCCTGGGAGGAAAGACGGCGAGAAGACCCACCGAAGTCCGGCAAACAGCGGCGACAGAATACCGCAGAAAAATAAAGCTAAGCCGGTGTTTTATGGGTGAAACCGCCCCGCTGAGCCGCGGAGTGAGTCAATCTGCGTGGATCTGAGGATTTAAAGACATGAAGTCGGTGCGCAGCTTTGTCATTGTTGTAAGTGGCTGCTTTGACTTTCACTCCACCTACAAGGAACTAACGTCAGCTAGCTTCAGCCTGCTTCTGATCGGCAAACACTGCTTATCTTAAACCTCATTTTAACGCCAGGCACTCAGGGCTTCGTCAAATATGCGGATTTAAACGAGAATATATTGAGTTTTTATTTGAAAAAGTGAGTTTTTTGGGTGAATTTGTTTCGGTTTGTGTGCTTTGCTTTGTGTGCTGATCCCGTGATTGTCAAGGAGTCTGCAGGCAACTGATGCACGATGCAGCCACCTCTTAAAGTGCAGCTGACAGGGTTTTTTCTGCTCTGCTGTACAGTTAACACGCGTGTGATATCCCCTTACTTCACCTGCTGCACCGTGTGATGTGACAAAAGGGTTTTTAAGCTTTTCTGTCCTCTCTAAGTGTCAGATAAGTTGTATTTCTCAGCTGTTTTTTTCGTCCTTCAGACACTAAGTGGAGCAATTAAGAAAAAGCACCTTCCATCTGAGTGACTTTTCTCTTGTTTTCTTTCAGATTAGACAGTCCCCAGCTGTTGCACCCTGTCAGGCTTCCCACGTGTGAGTCGGCTCATGTCAGTTGATGTCAGCGAGCCTGGGATTTTAATCTCCTCCACGCACACAAACGCACACGCGCAGAGATCAGGCCTCTGGTGACAGCTGCTCAAACCTGAAAAATATTAGTTTTCAAGCTAAAAGTCACACCTGTTACCACCAGGTTTACTTTTCCGGGGTTTAATATTTGCGGCGCATTAGCGTGGGCTCGGTCTGCATCACAGCAGCTCTTTATTCTCGGGCCCACCGTCTTCTAGCCTCCACTCCACGGGGGATTTAGTCTGTTTAAACTGGGCCTCATAACAGAGTGCGGGAGCTCATTTCCACACTTCACCGGCTTATATGCTACTCTATATCCTCATTACTTATTCATGTATGCACAGGAGGACACAAGAAGACATCAGCTTTCCATACTAATGCAAACACCTGTTGCTCAAAGCGGCTGCACCTGTCTGTAACCTTCACACTCGCTGCTTTCTGGTGCATGTCAGGAATATTTTATCGTCAAGTATAGATCGCTGTTAGCTGTCAGTGCTCTTGGGTCGAACACAAATGGCTTCATTTTAGCTCTTCATCACTAGCACGGGTTTGTTCGAAAATGGATCGTAACTTGCTCTAACTCAGGGCCCGTCACAGATCAGGGGTGGCCTCTGGGTGGGGCAGGTTGGGGGGGGCAGACAATCGCGGGCTTCAGCCATGCTGGCTGGGGTGCAGCCGTGCTTCCAGCTGCTTCGGATTGGGTCGTCGGCAGGCGAATCCGAGCGGGACCTGTACACCTTCAGGCCGGCGCAGAACCACTCGGTTTTCCGCCTGGGTCGGGCGGCGGAGCTGTGCGACGTCACACTGGACTCGCCGTCGGTGTCCCGCATCCACGCCGAGCTCGAAGCCGAGAGGGAGACGGGCGAAGGAGTCGAAGCTCAAGAGGAGGAAGGGTGGAGGGTCCACGTTAAGGACAGGAGCAGCCATGGTGAGACACGAGGGCTGAATCACACCCACACACACCATCACAGTCAACCTGAGATTCTCACACTGTCACACCCTCCCTCAGTCATTGTGGAAGAGAATGAGGTAAAAACACACCTGTTTACAGGAATAACACCACTTCTACTGAGAACGGAAGAAGTATTTTATTAAAGTCGAGTTAAAATGAGTGTGAAAACACATTCGAGTGAACTGACATGAAAAACAGTCCTCAAAAAATTCTAAGAATACAGTAAAAAAAATGTCCTTTAGTTTGAAATTTGTCAATTTATTCAAAGTTATCAATGAGACTTCAGCAGGTCTGCAGGACTCTCACTCAGCAGCCTTCAAAATGTTTCGCATCTTCTCTGGAAATATAAAAATCAAACCTTCAGTCTGAAATCTGAACTGAAACTAAACTGAAAAATAAATCCTAATCAGGGCTCTTTCACTTTCATTTTGCGATC